TGCAAAGAGGAATCTACAAAGGTATTGATTTCTCAACTCACTTTGTTTTGAGTTGAGTCTTGGTTCACCTATCTACTAGGCTTTGAATTTCATGGGTAAATGTTTTGTTTTAAGTGCATACAAGCATGATTCCGCCTTTAATTGTTAATTGCATGCTATTGATGTTGCTTAAATAAACATGTTTTTCACAAATCTTCCTTCACCAGGAGCTTGGGAGTGCTTCGTTGGACAAATTTGGACGTCGGGAAAGCTTGGTTCGAAGTTGGCCGAGTTTTGGAAACTTGGACAGGTATTTTCTCGTAGTTTTAGGCCTTAAAACTTGTAGGATCGTGTTCTACTAGTCCTAAGGGTTGAAATGGTGTAAAAATCTTGAAAAACGGTTGAAAAACGAGCGAGAAAACCTAAGTTGCAGGTTTTCCGGCGACGGCGACGGCGCCGACGAGGGGGAAAGGCCGGAGAAGAAAGGGGAATATTCCGTTAAGGTTTAACGGAATATTCCTAACGGACGTTGACGGCGTCAGTCAGGGTTAACGGAATATTCCGTCAGTTCAAGGGAATATTCCTGACAGCGTCACTTGACGCCGTTAGTGTGCATAGCACGTGGCCGCGCGTGGGGGCGCGTGGCAAGTCCAAAAATTATTTTAAAAATATGGTTGTGATCATGAGGTTGTGTAGATCACATTGGTATATTCATTTGTCCATTTTGAGCAATGTATGAGAAGTTATTTTGAACGGACGGTTATGTGCTCTAAAGTTAACGTTTTTATAGTTAATTCGCATATAGGTGACACGTATCCCGAGGACGAGCGTGCACATTCGAGGCAGGGGGGCTACGACCCTTCCACATATCAGTGAGTGGGCTTTTGTTTTCCGTATACACCTATATACATATATATTCCCAGAAATTAGTATGAATGCTTTGTTTTATGCCATCCTTTTTATATGATTGATGGTTATGCACGACTTGTGGCATATACGTTTAAGTACATATCCATTTATGATTGCATTATATATGTTGGTGCTGTGGAGGCGTAGGTAAGTAGCCAGGTAAGCATTATTTAACATTTGCATTAAATAGCGATTAGAGGTGCTTAGAGAGCTCATAACCTACACCCCCGGTGTTAGTGCTCCCGCCCAGAGTAGGGCACAGTCCTTCACGTGTTGTTCACCTCCTGCACCACACGCTCAGCTTGAATCCAAGTTAGGTGCACAGTCCTGTCGTACAGACCACTATAGGTGGTTCCGACTCGTAGGTGACCCGCGATTATTCGCACAGCCTTCACGTGATCGTAGCACTAGAGCGTTTATATGTTTTGCACCCAGGCCTGTCGTACAGACCACTTTAGGTGGTTCCGACTCGTGGGCAGGTTTAGTTATGGAAATTGAGATTTGAGCTCTAGATTCAGTCGTACAGGTCACTTAGGGGACTCCGGCTGTCAGATGTTATGATATTGATGCGATTTATACCTGAGCACTTGCATGTTGTTATGAGGTTTCGAGATGGCATACCTTTGAGCATGACTTGGCATATCTGCATATATGTGTTTATTTTCTGGGAAGTATACAGGTTTTACGGCGAGGGGTTAGAATGCATTTTATGAAATGATTTTCAAAGATTTGGTTTTTGCCCACTCACGCTTTTGTTTTGCGCCCCTCCAGGTTCTAGTAGCTTAGCGGGTTTGGTGGTTTTCCCGGAGGACGTCCCGGCATTCTGACAGACACTCACCTACGTAGGGTCACCTTCGGGTGCACTTTTGTTGTATTGTTTCTTTTGGACTGCTGTAGGCTTAAAGCTCTGAATTCAGCGTCTTACTTTTGCTAGCACATACTTTATCACATTATATTTGCTAGTTTTAAATTATTCGTACTTTTATATTACGGTTTTTAGCTTCCGCACTGTGCACATGGCTACGTCACTTCCACGTGACGACCAGCACGCCCTGATCTTGGTTGGGGTGTGTCAATGTTAGTAATTAAACTATATTTTCTCTTCCTTCGAATACGTTTTTTTCGATCACATTTTTTTTTTTTTTGGTTCTACAAACGTTTACTATTATCTTTTGGGATGTGATATCCACACACCCCATTTTACTTCGCACACACCTTTTTAATTTTCGACAGTCGGATCGGATGAATTGAAGAAGATCAACGGACAAAAATTATCAAGAGGTGTGTGATAAGTAAAATGAGGTGTACGGATAGCACACCCCTTATCTTTTTTCCAAATGGTTTTGTTTTTAATTAATGGTTTTCTTTTTTTCAAATAGTGAAGATGGGTAGTGGCATGTTATGTAATTTTGGTTAGGGAAATGATTAAATCTTATACATATAGTTTTATCAAAAGTTTAATTAAATTCCTCAAAGGCATATAGTTTTATCAAAATATCTTCTTTTTTTCATTATAATTCTCTACGTAAAATTATTATTATATTTTTGGCAAACAGTAATTACCACGAAAGCAAAACTAATTTAAGTTACATTGAAAAAACGAACAAATAAGGTTTCGTGGAATAAAGTGTTGGATTAGCGGGATCACTGGGATGTGCGTTTCGAATAAATATTGGTAAATAGAGTCTGTCATAAACGAGAATAATTATTTTTATTTTTTTGTCAAATAATTTTTCTTAGGTTGAATTTTTTTTTTTTTTTGTTGAAAATAATTATCAAAAACTAAAGAGGAAAAATGAATCGAAATTAGGGCCTGCGGCTAAACGAGAAAACCGAACTTTGTTGTTGCTCTCACACACGGAGAGGACTCTCGCTAGATTTTTAATCAAATAATTGAATGAAATCAATTCCTGATTCTATTTTTAATAAAATAAGTAAACTAGCTCCTTACTTGATTTGATTTGCATTGCCAAATCTTTTCATTGCTAAAAAAATATTACAAAAGATTGTCATTGTTGTCCCAATCTCACGTCTATGATTTGGTCTTCTCATGAGGTTTATTGGATGTCAATTTCCAACTAATCTTTGTAATATTATCGAACAAACACAAATATTATAGCATGAATAAGTTTGTAACATTTGGCGGCCATATTAAGTTACAACGAAAAAGTTTCTCGACTAATCTTTGTAACCCAATTGCCAAAAGTATGAATTTATCAGGAACCTATGGTGTAATATTATCGAACAAACACAAGTATTATAGCATGAATGAGTTTGTAACATTTGGCGGCCATATTAAGTTACAACGAAAAGTTTCTCGACTAATCTTTGTAACCCAATTGCCAAAAGTTTTCACACCCTCAAGTTTACATCGATCGAGCATCCAACCTTTGGGGTTGAAGAGCAAATCATAGATTAAATGAAAACTCGAAACATTGCTACATGCGTACACAACTTGAGTTACGAACGAGCCATGATTAAATCATTGATATCATTTAACGCTAACAGCAATATTTATGTTGTAAGAACACAATAAAAAAAAATGAAAACTTAATATTACAACACAATGATCCTCCTCCATTCTTTTTCTTTGAAAATTGTTATTTATTTAGCACAATCTATGCAACTCACTTATACCTGATTTCGCTTCAACATGAATGAAACAACAATGTAATCGTAATAATGAGTTAAACTAGTAACATAATACAATTTAGCTTGATATTTTCACGTATACAATTTTTCTACATACAACGATATATTTTACACTAAGCGGGGATGAGAAGATCGGCTAAGCCACATAATGAGCTACCTAATTTGATATCAAATTCGTCATCCACGAGATTCAACCTAAGACCTCTTATTCACAAGTGAAAAAGAATACTACCAAACTGTAGTACTGAGTCGCCCACATATTCTTAATATTACATGGATTTTGTTTTGAAGCTGTGGTGGGGACGGAAGGGCTTTAAGCTAACTGATGAGCTCGACGGCTACGCGGAGCACCCACCGCACCAAGCCTTCAACAAAGATTTAGCTCGCTTAATAGGCTCTAATTTAACTTTGGGTAGATTTATGGGCCTTCACTTTTCGGCTTTTTGCAATTAGCAAATTTTGAGGCCCAGTAATTGAGGAGTGAGAACCTTTGGGGCTTCTAACTAAATTCTCAATTAGATCCAATGTATACTTGACGAGAAACAAATGTTAATTTCCAAGTAAAAAGCTTATCGGCCATCAATCACAGTTTATAAACCTCGAATATAAATCATTCGTAAGAAATCAATATTAAGTCTCTGAAATCTCCGAAGGAGTCATTCATACATCCAACGACTTTTCTAAATCAAAACACAAGGTTCCCAAAACTATAGTTCACGAAAACACTAAAAACTAAGGTTAGAGTGACGCAGTCGGCCGAAGCCTACATAAATAACCAAACAAGAAGTGGCCCCTTATCGCGGATTAACCAAGCAGAACCAAAACTGCAGTAACCAAGTAGGCAGTGACCCCTTATCGCGGATTAACCAAGTAGAGTCACTCCTACGCATTTGTTAGGCAGTGATCACCTATCCGAAATGATAGGTGGACTAAATGTACAATTTCAACGTCTAAGTGGTCCTCCTGAATTTGAGGGTCAAAACAAGTTCATGAAATCTAGAGTACAAGATATTTGGACTAAATGTACAATTTCAATGTCTAAGTGGTCCTCTTGGATGGTTTGTCCCTATCCGAAATGATATGGGAAATAGACTAGTGACTCTAAATCAACCCAATTACCTTTAATACCAAGAGGTGAAGTTAAGGGTACGAACAGAGCTGATGCAGACTAATATAAAAAAGTCTAACAATTTCAAAAGTGATGAATTATGATAAAAAATATAAAACTATTATTATATTTTTGGCAAACAATAATTACCACGAAAGCAAAACTAATTTAAGTTACATTGAAAAAACGAACAGATAAGGTTTCGTGGAATAAAGTGTTGGATTAGCGGGATCACTGGGATGTGCGTTTCGAATAAATATTGGTAAATAGAGTCTGTCATAAACGAGAATAATTTTTTTTATTTTTTTGTCAAATAATTTTTTTTTAGGTTGAATTTTTTTTTTTTGGTTGAAAATAATTATCAAAAACTAAAGAGGAAAAAGGAATCGAAATTAGGGCCTGCGGCTAAACGAGAAAACCTAGGCCTGGCAATTTCTGACACGACCCGATAACCCGACACGACACGACACGAAATTAACAGGTGTTTGGGTCGACACGATAACGAATCGGGTCGTTATCGGGTAACCCGATAAGCACCTGTTAAGATAACGGGTTGGTTCGGGTATACACGTGGGTAACACGATACACGATAAGCAGAATATTATTTTTATAATTTTATAACCCTAAAAAAATACTATAATAATTATATACATTAATTTTACAATTTTATACCTCTAAAAATTATAATAAATATATATATATATATATATATTAAATTAACTATAAAATTTATAATAATTATAATAATTATATATACTATAATAATTATACCCCCAAAATATTAAGTCTATCTATAATAATTATATATATATATATATTAAATTTTATAAAAACTATAATAATTATTAATTAATAATTTAATATGCATGATGCATTGCATGATTTTGCATCAATTGAAATTTGATGTGATTTCTTTCCATTCAAATTTCAATAATCAATTTCTTGCCGTTGCCAACTTGCCGCCCTTTTTGAAAAACAAAATGGAGGGAAAATGAAAATGTTAAGAAAAGTTGAAAATGAAACAAAAAAGTGAGGGAATTAGGGAAAGATGTTGGAGGGAAAAATGAAAATGATAAGAAAAAGTTGAAAATGAAACAAAAAAGAGAGGGAAAAATGAAAATTAATAGAAGTGGTGAGAAATTTTTTTTTTTTTTTAAGTTATTAACTTTTTATCACACACATGACTGTCATGACATATCTCACTATTTTTATAATGACACACGTGACACGTGATGTATGTTCTATTCCATGTACCAGTCAATTATAATTTATATGTACAAAATAAATAGATTTAAATCTACTTAATAAATATATATATATATATACACACACACATGGAACTTGATTGATGGCATACGAATTCTCCAAAACTAATTTCAACGATCCAAACCGTCAAAATTGTTTGTATATGCTTGGAGATCACATCAGCAAAAAATCACAAAAAAAACCATTCAGAGATCAAGTAACGGGACAAAGCTTTTCAACGGTTATAAACGAAAAATCACGATTTAACGGTTATTTTAACTCCGATTTTGATGATTTTTTATAACTACACTCCTTGACCCTATATGAATACAATGAATGAATTCGATCTTCAATTTAAAATATTTACACAAGTAGATACCACAAAATCTTATGTTATACTTAATGAAAGTATAAATAAACTCTAAGTGTTAGTCAATCTATCGTTTTACGAATTCTCCAAAACTAATTTCAACGATCCAAACCGTCAAAATTGTTTGTATATGCTTGGAGATCACATCAGCAAAAAATCACAAAAAAAAAAAAACATTCAGAGATCAAGTAACGGGACAAAGCTTTTCAACGGTTATAAACGAAAAATCACGATTTAACGGTTATTTTAACTCCGATTTTGATGATTTTTTTATAACTACACTCCTTGACCCTATATGAATACAATGAATGAATTCGATCTTCAATTTAAAATATTTACACAAGTGGATACCACAAAATCTTATGTTATACTTAATAAAAGTATAAATAAACTCTAAGTGTTAGTCAATCTATCGTTTTACGAATTCTCCAAAACTAATTTCAACGATCCAAACCGTCAAAATTGTTTGTATATGCTTGGAGATCACATCAGCAAAAAATCACAAAAAAAAAAAACATTCAGAGATCAAGTAACAGGACAAAACTTTTCAACGGTTATAAACGAAAAATCACGATTTAACGGTTATTTTAACTCCGATTTTGATGATTTTTTTATAACTACACTCCTTGACCCTATATGAATACAATGAATGAATTCAATCTTCAATTTAAAATATTTACACAAGTGGATACCACAAAATCTTATGTTATACTTAATGAAAGTATAAATAAACTCTAAGTGTTAGTCAATCTATCGTTTTACGAATTCTCCAAAACTAATTTCAACGATCCAAACCGTCAAAATTGTTTGTATATGCTTGGAGATCACATCAGCAAAAAATCACAAAAAAAAAAAACATTCAGAGATCAAGTAACGGGACAAAGCTTTTCAACGGTTATAAACGAAAAATCACGATTTAACGGTTATTTTAACTTCGATTTTGATGATTTTTTATAACTACACTCCTTGACCCTATATGAATACAATGAATGAATTCGATCTTCAATTTAAAATATTTACACAAGTGGATACCACAAAATCTTATGTTATACTTAATAAAAGTATAAATAAACTCTAAGTGTTAGTCAATCTATCGTTTTACAAATTCTCCAAAACTAATTTCAACGATCCAACCCGTCAAAATTGTTTGTATATGCTTGGAGATCACATCAGCAAAAAATCACAAAAAAAAAAAACATTCAGAGATCAAGTAACGGGACAAAGCTTTTCAACGGTTATAAACGAAAAATCACGATTTAACGGTTATTTTAACTCCGATTTTGATGATTTTTTATAACTACAGTCCTTGACCCTATATGAATACAATGAATGAATTCGATCTTCAATTTAAAATATTTACACAAGTGGATACCACAAAATCTTGTGTTATACTTAATGAAAGTATAAATAAACTCTAAGTGTTAGTCAATCTATCGTTTTACGAATTCTCCAAAACTAATTTCAACTATCCAAACCGTCAAAATTGTTTGTATATGCTTGGAGATCACATCAGCAAAAAATCACAAAAAAAAAACATTCAGAGATCAAGTAACGGGACAAAGCTTTTCAACGATTATAAACGAAAAATCACGATTTAACGGTTATTTTAACTCCAATTTTGATGATTTTTTATAACTACACTCCTTGACCCTATATGAATACAATGAATGAATTCGATCTTCAATTTAAAATATTTACACAAGTGGATACCACAAAATCTTATGTTATACTTAATAAAAGTATAAATAAACTCTAAGTGTTAGTCAATCTATCGTTTTACGAATTCTCCAAAACTAATTTCAACGATCCAAACCGTCAAAATTGTTTGTATATGCTTGGAGATCACATCAACAAAAAATCACAAAAAAAAAAAAACATTCAGAGATCAAGTAACGGGACAAAGCTTTTCAACGGTTATAAACGAAAAATCAAGATTTAACGGTTATTTTAACTCTGATTTTGATGAATTTTTACAGCTACACTCCTTGACCCTATATGAATACAAAGAATGAATTTGATCTTCAATTTAAAATATTTACACTAGTGGATGTGGATATCACAAAATCTTATGTTATAATTTATATACTTAATAAAAGTATGAATCAACTATAATATTAATAATTATATACATTAATTTAATAATTTTATATCCCTAAAAAGTAAAAACTATAATAATTATATAGATGTAGGTGTAAATTGAATACAATTTCATGATGATCGATGTAAATTGAAGATTTTGTAAATGGAGGTGTAAACTTTTGAGAAAGACTTACAATCTTAAAAACAAAAACTCTTTATCCTTGCACATTTAATATTTGTAATATATTAGTAGTGTATGTATTATTTTTTTTATTAGGCTTTTATTTTCGAGTGTAGATATAGTACTTGAACGAGAAATGTTTTAATGTTTTGAAGTAATATTTATGTGGCAATGTGTGGTATGTGCAAATTTAAAAAAAAAAATATTTTTTTCTTAACGGGTCATAATGGGTCATAACGGGTCGGGTCACTTTACCCGTTGGGTAAAGTGACACGACCTGTTAAGGACCCGTTAAGATAACGGGTGTGAAACGACACGACCCGTTAAGATAACAGGTGTTACACGAAAACGACACGAACACGAACACGATAGACACGACCCGTTTGCCAGGCCTAAGAAAACCGAACTTTGTTGTTGCTCTCACATACGGAGAGGACTCTCGCTGGATTTTTTATCAAATAATTGAATGAAATCAATTCCTGATTCTATTTTTAATAAAATAATTAAACTAGCTCCTTACTTGATTTGATTTGCATTGCCAAATCTTTTCATTGCTAAAAAATATTACAAAAGATTGTCATTGCTGTCCCAATCTCACGTCTATGATTTGTTCTTCTCCTGAGGTTTATTGGATGTCACTTTCCAACAAATCTTTGTAATATTATCGAACAAACACAAGTATTATAGCATGAATGGGTTTGTAACATTTGGCGGCCATATTAAGTTACAACAAAAAGTTTCTCGACTAATCTTTGTAACGCAATTGCCAAAAGTATGAATTTATCAGGAACCTATGGTGTAATATTATCAAACAAACACAAGTATTATAGCATGAATAAGTTTGTAACATTTGGCGGCCATATTAAGTTACAACGAAAAGTTTCTCGACTAATCTTTGTAACCCAATTGCCAAAAGTTTTCACACCCTCAAGTTTACATCGATCGAGCATCCAACCTTTGGGGTTGAAGAGCAAATCATAGATGAACTGAAAACTCGAAACAATGCTACATGCGTACACAACTTGAGTTACGAACGAGCCATGATTAAATCATTGATATCATTTAACGCTAGCAGCAATATTTGTGTTGTAAGAACACGATCCAAAAAAAAAAAAAAAAATTGAAAACTTAATATTACAACACAATGATCCTCCTCCATTCTTTTTCTTTGAAAATTGTTATTTATTTAGCGCAATCTATGCAACTCATGTATACCTGATTTCGCTTCAACATGAATGAAACAATAATGTAATTGTAATAATGAGTAAAACTAGTAACATAATACAATTTAGCTTGATATTTTTACCTATACAATTTTTTTACATACAACGATATAATTTACACTAAAAGGGGATGAGAAGATCAGCTAAGCCACATAATGAGCTACCTAATTTGGTATTAAATTCGTCATCCACAAGATTCAACTTAAAACTTTTCATTCACAAATGAAGAAGAATACTACCAAATTGTAGTACTGAGTCGCTCACGTGTTCTTAATATTACATGGATTTTGTTTTGAAACGTGGTGGGGACGGAAGGGCTTTAAGCTAACTGACGAGCTTGATGGCTACGCGGAGCACCCACCGCACCAGGCCTTCAACAAAGATTTAGCTCGATTAATAGGCTCTAATTTAACTTTGGGTAGATTTATGGGCCTTCACTTTTTGCAATTAGCAAATTTTGAGGCCCAGTAATTGAGAAGTGAGAACCGTTGGGGCCTATAACTAAATTCTCAGTTAGATCCAATGTATACTCAACGAGAAACAAATGTTAATTTCCAAGTAAAAAGCTTATCGGCCATCAATCACAGTTTATAAACCTCGAATATAAATCATTCGTAAGAAATCAATATCAAGTCTCTGAAATCTCCGAATGAGTCATCCAGACATCCAACGACTTTTTAAAATCAAAACACAAGGTTCCCAAAACTATAGTTCACGAAAACACTAAAAACTAAGGCTAGAATGACGCCGTTCGGCCAAAGCCTACATAAGTAACCAAACAGGAAGTGGTCCCTTATCGCGGATTAACCAAGCAAAACCACCCCTGCAGTAACCAAGTAGGCAGTGACCCCTTATCGCGGATTAACCAAGCAGAGTCACTCCTACGCATTTGTTAGGCAGTGATCACCTATCCGAAATGATAGGTGGACTAAATGTACAATTTTAATGTCTAAGTGGTCCTCCTGAATTTGAGGGTCAAAACAAGTTCATGAAATCTAGAGTACAAGATATCTGGACTAAATGTACAATTTCAATGTCTAAGTGGTCCTCCTGGACGGTTTGTCCCTATCCGAAATGATATGGGAAATAGACTGGTGACTCTAAATCAACCCAATTACCTTTAATACCAAGAGGTGAAGTTAAGGGTACGAACAAAGCTGATGCAGACTAATATCAAAAAGTCTAACAATTTCAAAAGTGATGAATTATGATAAAAATAAAAAATAAAAACTAAACAATTCCGACGTTGTCCCAAGCCAAAAATAGAGAGGTAAAATTTAAGAATAATCTAACAAGATTTCTTGATGAATGAAAAGTAACATCACAAAATATTAAACTACCATGGACCAAAAGTAATTTCCCAACATGTTCTTCTACCGAGTGTTACCACTTTAGTACCACATTGCCACATGAGACATTTCTAGAGTCTTAACAAAAGTAGACTTCGCAAGAATTTTATTAGGTGATATTCTAACAATACTATCAAGAAATCAAAATCAGCTGAGATTTCCAATCTCAAAACTAGCTCCTTACTTGATTTGATTTGCATTGCCAAATCTTTTCGCTGCTGAAAAATATTACAAAAGATTTTTATTGTTGTCCCAATCTCGCGTCTCTGATTTGGTCTTCTCATGAGGTTTATTGTGGATGCCAATTTCCAATATGAATTTATCTGGAACCTATGGTGTACTATTATCGAACAACCACAAATATTATAACATGAATGAGCTGGTAACATTTGGCGGCCATATTAAGTTATAACGAAAAATTTCTCGACTAATCTTTGTAACTGAATTGCCAAAAGTTGTCACATCCTCAAGTTTACATCGATCGAGCATCCAACCCTTGGGGCTGAAAAGCAAATCATATATGAAATGAAAACTCGACACAGTGCTACATATGTACACAACTTGAGTTATGAATGAGCCATGATTAAATCATTGATATCATTTAACGCTAGTAGCAATATTTGTGTTGTAAGAACACGATCAAAAAAAAAAAAAAAAAAAAAAACTTAATATTACAACACAATGATCCTCCTCCATTCTTTTTCTTTGAAAATTGTTATTTATTTAGCGCAAGCTATGCAACTCACGTATACCTGATTTCACTTCAACATGAATGAAACAACAATGTAATTGTAATAATGAGTAAAACTAATAACATAACATAACACAACGATATATTTTACACTAAGAGGGGAGGGGAAGTTCAGCTAAGCCACACAATGAGCTACCTAATTCAGTATTGAATTCGTCATCCACGAAATTCAACGTAAGACCTCTCATTCACAAATGAAGAAGAATACTATCAGACTGTAATATTGAGTCGCTCACGTATTCTTAAAATTACATGGATTTTGTTTCGAAGCTGTGGTGGGGACGGAAGGGCTTTAAACTAACTGGCGAGCTTGACGGCTACGCGGGGCACCCACCGCACCAAGCCTTCGGCAAAGATTTAGCTCGATTAATAGGCTCTAATTTAACTTTTGGTAGATTTATGGGCCTTCACTTTTTGCTATTAGCAAAATTTGAGGCGTGATTGAGAAGTGAGAACTTTTGGGGTCTATAACTAAATTCTTAGTTAGATCCAATGTATATTTGACGAAAAACAAATGTTAATTTCTAAATAAAAAGCTTATCGACCAAAGAAAAAGACAAGTAAAAAACTTGGGGCTTGTTTGGTTTCATTCTTAGATCCAATTTTTAGTTTTGCCAATTTAGAATAGTTCTCAGAGTTAACAAAGTTAGATATTTCAAAAACTCGTTAATTATTTATATTAGTCTCTAGGGAGATTGACGTTGCTATAGAGTCATTCTATACTACTGTAACTTGTTCTCTTGCAAGAATTTTCTATGTTTTAACCCTGCAAGTTTTTCTAAGTCTGTCTTATTTGTCTTATTTTCCTTTTTTTTGTTCTTTGGTTGCTGTCAAATCAATGTGTTACCTATTATACGGTTATACTTGCACAAAATGCAACAGGAATCTATATATCTATTTATACCATTCAAAGCTGGGGATGATTTGGATTGGTTTTGTTTTGGTCCAAACCACGACCCAAACTGCAAACTTTGGTTTGTTTAGTTTTAAAACATAAAAGAACCATAATGGTTTAAAAGTTAAAACAATATGTAATAGGTTCACTAATGTTGCAATGCGAACTGGTTCGGTTTGCAACCTAACATGCACAAAGCACCAAATGAAAATTGTTGAGTTATGTCGAAATAGTGTGAGAATTTTCTTTAAACCCATCAATTTATAAATATCAAATGTAATTGCAAATAAACGTATCAATCAATGTTTTTTTACAAATTCTAATGTACCCACAAATGATATATACATAATGTATTTTACCTAATAATAATTCGTCAATAACTTCAAAAAAAAACAAAAGAAAATTTTACACGGAACTATTATGTTAAACGACCAACTATTTGAAAAAACAAAAAAAAAAAAAAAAAAAAAAAAACCGTCTTCCACTCTTACCGTAACGGTTTTCTCAAGTAAAAAAAAATAAAAAGCAGCAAATTAACCTGGCTTCCTCAGTCCTCTGCTTCTTCACTCTCCATCTCTGATACGAATCCCTCCGCACAGAAGCCGTTTTGCCACGCAAATGCGCGACATGGATTCTTCTCTTCCTTCTGATCTCTCGTCCTCATCAACTTATCGACCTCCGCATCGCCGTCCGATCCTCGTTGGGCAGCTAAGAAGCGACGCCTCAGAGATAAAGTCCGTAGGGTGCAAGCAAACTCGAATTTCACCAGTTTCCGTTTTTCTTGAATGTTCGTAAATTTAGCTTAATGGGTATCCGTAATATTGATCAGAAATCTGGGGTTTTTAGCAAGAGTTTCTGGTTTTACTGATTTGAGTTTGTTTTGGCTGATTCTGTTAGTTTTTATTCATTATTTCTTGTAGGTTTTGCACTTTCGTTTGTATGATGTTCAAACTGGTTTCTTGGTAAAAGTTTCACCGACACTTTTTGCGATGCATGCATGATACGATTCTTTCTACTTCATTATCATCAGTCTCAAGATACAGTTACGTGTACTTGTATCTTGCATAATCTTTTCAAGAGTTCATCTTTCAAGTTTCAAAACTATATGAAATTGTTTGGTGGTTTTCTTTGTAAGAAGGATATAAGACTCCGCATCAATGCTAAATTCTGTGGACAGTGTGGATGGAGTGATGGAGAATGAGACTACTGAAACGAGCACTTCAGGGTGCGGTGAGGGGCTCTCTTTTGCGGTATTCAGATGAGGACATCAATAAATTTGACTTTCCTGAATCTCATGATTTTTCGTATGAATTCAGGTTCTCTAATTCTGGGAATGGGAGCATTGTCCCGATTGACTGGAGACCCCAAATATGAATCGGCAGCTTTATGTGCTCTTCGTGAATTATGGGGCATGTGGAGTTCGTTGAATTTACTCGGTACAACGCTGGATGTATCAACTGGTGAATGGATTGTGTATTCATCTGGAATTGGAGCTGGTAGGTTTCGTCGGGGCTTTGAGGTCTTTAATGCACTGCATTACAAGTATATTTAGAAGTTTACTGGGTTTCCCATATAGTACAAGGGCCAATATTTCCTTGTGCAAGTCTGTTGCCGCGCCCATTCCTTAAATGTATTTTGAGTGCGTAGAGTTTGATGTTTCTGATGTTGGATTATGTGTTTCTTCGTTTAGGGGATGACTATCTATTTAAGGGCCACATCCTTTTTGGAAATGGGGAGTTCTGGAGGATGTTTCATTCTGCTGTGCAGAAATATTTCAGACATGGTCCATGGTACAACATTTCTTCCTAGCCTTTTTGAATGCCTTATTCAATTCGTTATTGGTACTTTCCAAGTGTTAAAAATTTGGATTCTAGCTGTAAGATTAAGTTGAGATGAGAAAGGAGTGATTCCCTGTTGGTACTTACGGCAAGCTGAAGCCGCGCAAGTATGGACCGTATAAGATTTTGAAGAAGATCAATGATAATGCAGCGCTTATGTTGTTGACCTGCCCGCATCTATGGGAATTTCAAGCACTTTTAATGTTACAGATTTGTTTGAATACCATGAAGATGAACCGCTTTATCCCGAAGAACTCGGGGGCGAGTTCTTTTGAAGTGGAAGAGTTTGAAGTAGAACGTTTAGCGGAGGAATTTGAAGCATAGCTTGATAGGCGCAAGGAGAACACCAGTAGGTCATGAGTTACACACTATGATTTGAATCGCATTTAATATGTATAATTAATCTCGTATATTACAAATAGAATAAATAGGCAATGTAAGTGTTGCTCTAAGGATCATCTTTTGTATTCTAGATTAATCATTATAGTCTTTGAGAATTCTCACTTTTCTGGTGGATTCCATATGAATCATTAAGGCTGAACGTGAGGATCCGTCTGTTTATCTTCTTGTTGCGTCATTCTCTCTCTTTCAATTTTGCGTCCAAGGTTTACTGCTCAGACATACATATAGGGAAATTTTGGAAATGGCTTGTGGTGGTAATGGGTTTATATTTGAAAACTTTAACGAAAAGCTTTCGTACTGTTCATTTTAATGAAAAATCACATTTTTACATTAAAAAGTTAATCCTTGTAATATTCATTGGGGCTTTTCAATCTAAGTCCAAAAACATAGGTAGTTTTTTAACTAAGTCCAGTTATCCAATTACATATTTTTATACCAATTTTGCCCTTTTAGATAAAAATATTTAAATTCTTTAATTTTTTATCATTTATTCAGTTTTTAATTTTGAATATTTAAATACTAACTAAAATATTATCTAGTAACCACCTAATGATGTTTACCTACAAAACCGATATAATTTAGTAACTACCTATTGTATAGGAAGAAAAATACTTTATACCAACAAAACATATGTAATCTACTGCAAAACAAAAATAAACTACCTATTGTATAGGAAGAAAAATGCTTTATACCTACAAAATAGATATAATCTACCAACAAAATAAAAATAAACTACCTATTGTATAGGAAGAAAAATGCTGAACCTCCATGGCAGAACATTAGAATAGAAATATGAAATAATATACCTCCATTAAAGGAACAAATACTAAACAAAAAAAAGGAACAAATACTAAGTTTCAGTTTACCTTTATGATACGCACAAAAATATAATAGAGCAAATATAAATGCATGATACTGTATTATTGCTTGCAATTGATACTGTATTGCCGAACGAATATGTAAAAAAATTGTGAAAGCTATGTAAAAACTGAAATTGTCATGAAGGAATTTGGAGGGAGGAACACAAAATATCACCCATGAAAGATGAGAGAAGAGGATGATTGATTCCATGATCTAACAAAGGGAATTGTTTAGAAGAAGGAAAAAAAAGGAGGGATAAAACAGACTGGGGGTTGAGATTTTATTGCTATAACTAATCCTACAATTAAGGGATTAGTTAAACCACAAATAATCATATAATTAAGAAATTTTAAATATTTCCTACAATTTATAAGTCTAAGGGATAAATATGGTACAAATTACAAATAAGCTTACGTGGAATATCAATTATTGGACGTATTTCAATGCAGTGGACTAATTATAGTAATGACTCACAAAATTGGATCTATATCAAATTATCCCATATTCATTTTACCTTTTATTTTATTCTTATTTTTAAAACTCAAAATTTTCAAGTCATTTTTATTAGTTTTCTTTTTATGTTTTTGAACTTTGCCCAATCATAAATTTGGTAGCTCGACACTCTGAGGGGTGGTTTGGTAAGTATGCATCTAAAGTTGTGAAGAATTTGGCTCCACCAAACCAAACTCCAAGCAAACTGACCTTTTGTCCTCATTTGGGACACGTGTCCCTCTATCGGGAGTGAAAAAAAAAATTATTTGGCGCACAGATTCGATCCTCGAACATTTCTCGGTCTTTATGTCGTAACTCGCGCGCCTAATTTGCGTGCGAGACCAAATTGATTTTGTTCCTTTTTAAGTCAAAACACTTGTGAGATATTTTTTTTCTAGTAACAAAAGAAGATGAAGGAGATCCGTCAATCGAGGTCTCTGTCGATCCTGGTTTGTTTTTTCTAGTTTGAGATCCTTCAAGAGAGATTTCTAAGGAGATATGTCGAGTAAATTAGTTTTTATTGTTCTTTCTTTCATTTAGGTTTTTCTGCATTTGGTATTATTTAGGAAATTAGGTGGATACAGAAGTTTCGATTTGGGATTTTCTAAATCTTGGTTCAAGTTAGGAATCTCTTCATTTTGGTTCTAGAATTGGGATTTTCTGTCTTCTGAAATTCTGAACTAGGTTTTTCAATCGGATTAGAAAATGGACTCATGAACCCGTTGGAACCGGCCTCTTCAAACAGTCCGGGTTAGGTCTAGTTCTATTTTTTAAAACATGACTACTAACCCAGCCTCACCCCGTTTTATTTCCAAACGAGTATAGTCCAGTTTCACTAAATTTGAGTCTGGCCTGGCCTGTGCCCCCTTGTATGAACACTATTCAAATCTGTTTTCACACATCAAACTCAAATAAAAGGGACAGCAGAAGGGACAAAATTATGAGAACTAACCAGAGGTGCAGATGTTATAGAACAAGAAATGACAGAATGGGTCCAAATAAGTGGTTAGTGCCCTAAACTGCTATAGTATCTAATTCTTCCAACTCAACCATCTGAAGTCGTTTCGTACTTTAAAAGGTGGTTAGCCTATTTGTATTGGTACATAAACCGGATGAAAAATTTTTGTCTTCTCGATTTGGATTTGAGATTTCTTCAAATATCGGAAAGTGACGCCATATTAAGAGCTAGTTGATTAGTGAAGATATGATGCAAAAAAAATAAGAAAGATGAATAACCAAACAATAAACAACTCCATAACATGGAAAAAGTAAATGCCAAACTAACTTTTTTTTTTTTTCTGTTACACAATCTAATAGATGGATATTTGTTTGTATAAGAAGTATACAACAAAAACGAATACCATCGCTTGGACACATACAGGCAACGGGTGGAATGCTGCAGCCAGTCGCCCAAGCTCATACTTAGGGGGCCACTTCTGAAGAACCCTCTTGCTTGATTTTCTGCAGCAAAACAAGAAATGCTCAGGAAACCTTATGGGCTACAAAAACCAAAGAATCAATTTGAATGTAGTGATGGCAAAATTGGTTTTACAATCTCACGAGGGAAATTGTTATTAACAGTCCAAAAATGTCATCTGACACACCTCCTTCCTTTATTTTTGTAACTAGTGACGAGAACAGATGTTAAATATTCAGCATACTCCTCAGTACCAACCATCGTAATCTGTAATGTGTTGGTTTTATCTCCAGAAGATGAAGAACTGTTAAAAAAGAGCGTCCAAAATGTATTTATTTGATCAGTATAACTGCAGTTCCCTATCGATCAATACGTTATAACAGCAGTTTAACAAAGCCAAGAGAAGTAGAATCTGGCACTGTTATATAGGAATGCCTATCATCATAAGAAAGCTTCCATGAAAGTTTACACATGTGGAGAGGTGCAAGATAGATTAAGGGTTATTGTGCCAATTCACACATTAAAAAAAGAAAAAAAACAGTTCAGCTAAAGTCCACCTCTGTTTATCTAGAAGCAAGAAATGTGCATGGGTTAGATTAGAAAAAGGAATGAACTTACATCATGGAGATGAAACCATCTAAGGCATTGTTCTTCTTGGCTCTCCCCTGTGAAATAACCCAATTTTATTATTAAAAACAAGAGCTCACAGATGAGTAAAAAGCTTGTCGACCAAAGAAAAAGACAAGTAAACAACTTGGGGCTTGTTTGGTTTCCTTCTCGGATCCAATTTTTTGTTTTCACAAATGATGAATGTAGCTAAATTCCTTCATACTCATTAGTCTCAAAACAAAAAATTGGCTTCTATTGATAAAAGGTATTTAACAAAGAAAAAGATATCGTATAGATGTATATGTAGTCACCTTTTTATGAGCCAACCGAAAACTCTCATCTTCTTCAGGCTCAAAATCCTCACATTTTCTGAGACATGAAATACTCGGACATCAAATGAAGTTGCAATAAACCATATAACAAAATTTTGAAATATTGAGCATAATATTACAAAGAAGAAACAAAAAAAAGAGGAGAAAGTATGAACTTACGGCATAAAGCTGAAACAAATACGAATTCTACCAGAATGTCCTATGTGGAAATCACAGACACTAGAATCCAAAGTCTTGATATGCATTGTTTCATCATCACAGACAATTTCGAATGTGGTGATAAACATCTCTTGAGACTCCTCCAAATCAGCGGAGAAAGATTGAAGAAGACAGAATTCCAACTTCTCCAAATGGACCAAATACTCTGTTGGCCTGGAAATACGACCAGATTCCGTACTGTCTGCAACCCTACTCTCCAGTCCTGGCAAAAAGAATGGTTCCTCTAGCGAATAGGTAACAAGGCCATCATTCCCTATTTTTATCTTAAGCGACAACGCTATAACCTTTCCACATTGTATAGATAAGGCATATATAGAATTGCCTACAACCACGGCCCTCCCTCGAAAAGCAGAATAATAAGCTTCCTTTCTAGATATATCAACTTGATGCCAGGTATTACTGTCTATATGAAAAACCATGAACTCAAATCGAAAATTGCATGTTGAAACCAAAATACATCCATGACAAACAGCATAACCTGCTATCTCCATGTTGGACCGTTCCCGAGAATAAGCAAAATGAGTAAGAGATTCCCAAGAATCAGTTTTGGAATCATAACGCTCAAACAATACCTTCGGCATCAATCGGAAGCACTGTGGAGATGCAAGATTATAAAGCTTTCCGTATGCAGACATAAGATATGAAACTGGCTTAGGTGCTAAAGGAGGCTCGAATGTTTCCAATGATCTAGTCGCTGTGTCATAAATATGTCCCCTATATGAGCCGAACTTGTCATCGGCGGGGTGGTTATGAAGAGGTATGAGTCCTTTATTTAACACTAAGTGTAATTTAGAGTTGTGCAATCTCGCACCCTCAAACCAACAATACTAAAGGAGTACAAACTTAAACTCAGGTTCAAGTTTCTTAGGTCGCATCACTTCTCCTCCCTGTTGGATTTTTATTTCATATAATCCACCTCCAAATGGACCACATGTAAATTCCACGAGTACAAATACAGATCTGGCTTCCCCCTCCTCCATAGATGTGCTGAAAAACAACAATAATGATGCAAGTCAAATATTTTTTTCCAAAACCAAGGTCAAGATTAGGGCTTAGGCGGGGTGATTTGAATCGGGATACCGAACCGAAAAGCATAAACGGAATCCCGAACCTATAATTTCGGTAATCCGAATTTCGGGATTCCTAAAATTTTAGCCACAAAAAATCACTAAATCTTATTACTTTTCGGTCGAACACATCTGCTAACAGGACAATTAGCATTGCTATACAACATTATTAGCAAATCACTTAAACCATTTTGCTAAAATGGCACCAACTACATAAAATCAAAGATATCAAACACACATAATCATCCAAGTTTCATTCTGTACTTCATCATACTACCACCCAATATCTCTGCTAATCATCATTCTAAAATTTCTTTTCCTGGACTTTCTCAGTAACCAAACAGCTGAATTATGAAAAAGCTTATAATCAAACAGTCCAACCTCGCAAATTCACAATCTTTTCATCCAATTCAACATGCATGATCAGAAACACAATATATGAAACGGAAAAATCATGCTCAGAAACACAACATACAATTGTAGAAATCCAACATGCTCAGAAATTCAAAACTAATCAAATAAAGAAATCCAATTACAAAAATCCAAATTCAATTTTAAATCGAAGAATAATACAAAACAAAACCCTAGATTTTGACAATAATTCAAAACAAATACCTCGATTTTAGGCTCGAGAGTCGCTCGATCGAGAGAATGCGAGAGAGATAGCAGCAGGTGTGTGTAGTTTGTCTGTGATGTGGTCGAGACAGAGAGACTTGAAGAAGGTGGGCTGAAGAGAGACAGAGTCGAGAGAGATGAGAGGGTTCGAGTCGAGAGGACAGAGGAGCGGTAGGAGGCGGAGTCTCAAAAATTCAGAATGACAGAATGACACAGGATTGCGCTCCCTAAATTCGAAATCCGACGGTCCACGTTATCCAAGTTTTCGGGATCGGTTTGGTTTTGCGTACCCAACATTTGGGATATTTGGTTCGGTCGCTTTTCGTCTAAATTCGTGATGAACCAATATGTGGTACTCTTGCCATAGTGTGTTTCTAGGAGAAGCATAATTGAGTTTAGTGGAAAAGTATGCAAAAAACGGTAGATAATTTAAAGCCTACACTGAAGAAAATTCCTTGACGTTTCAAGCCTTTAAAGACAGCTCATTTATTGAGATTTAAGGAAAGTTTGAAGGCAAGAAACGTTCATATTGCACCAGATTATTCCTTGGTACATTTCTGTGAGAATATAAAGGATAACCTGATATTGCATAATCTGCTATTCACTTCCCAAACTCTCTCTCTCTCTCTCTCTCACACATAATGTATCACGCAGATGTGTATGTATATTCCTATACCCTGATTCCTCCAGCTACAGAAATTACATTTATTTTTTGTCTGCAGAAACAACTCTGGTCTTCCGCGGAAGTCATATGAACAACCACAGCCCGCAGTAGTCGGCCATGCTACACCATCTTCGTCTACAATTAGTTGAGTGAATTCCACATTCATCGTCTGTTAAACATCTGTGGTCACTACAATCATCTGGGACGTGCCAAGCACTCTTAACTTGTTCTCCGCCACATTCCCACGAATTCATTGCTGTAGGAGGACATACTTGCACACACATCAGCGCTTGCTTTCCGGTCTGCACAAATTAAAACGTCACGACCAATATGAACTGGCATGTAATGGTATACTGCACTGACCTCAAAGTATCAAATGCAGCTAAAAATTGAAAAACAAAAACCAAGGGGGATGAAATTGCAACTCAAATCGGGATTTTTTATTTATTTAGTTTAGATAAAAAGATTAGATTGCCTCAAAAAAGAGTCTGCCAAATCTGTTGTTCTTTTTGTCTTCCAAGAAGCATGTTTTCAGTTTGTTATGGACTGACTACCAATTAAAAACTACTACTGATGCAGTAAAGTAGAAGCGACACCTTCAGAGAAGTCCAGTTGGAATGGATGTAGGTCTCAGGAGGCCTTTCATGCCAACTACTTAACACTGGAAGGGGATGCCCCTCAGTTGTGAAAATATAATTTTGTGCCGCCAAAAATGCATCGTCAAACAGGAGAAATAGATACTCGGACCTACAAAAAACATAAGACGTCAGTTCAGATGTATGTTAAAAGTGCAATGGTTGTTTTCTCGCTAGTTGAACAGTGAAAGGGAAAAACAACTCTTCCGTCTCAGCAAGGAAGAAACTATGCTGATGGTCTTCCAACTGCTTAGTTGTGACATCTCTAATGCTAGCAAAACCTCCTTCCACTTTGGTGTATAGGTTCAGAGAATTTAGAATTGACTCCCCCACTTCAATATACCATGGATCTGATAAAAGAAACAAAAACAACACAAAAAATCAGAAAAGTTGTCACTTAGGGCCCAGAAGTGTCTGAATTCTTAGAAAATATCACCTGAACTTTTAGGTCCATGTGGAAATGAAGATAACTAATAAGAAAATTATCAAACATTTAGTTGCTTGATACAAGTAGAAAGTTGATTCCGCCAATTCAGGGCGCAGAAGATAATACTTTTCTGTGGGATACAACGTTGATGGTCCAACAAATACCAACATCAGAAACATCAAACTCTACGCATTCAAAATACATTAAGGAATGGGCGCGGCAACAGACTGCACAAGGAAATATTGGCCGTTGTACTATTTGGGAAACCCAGTAAACTTCTAAATATACTTGTAAGGCAGTGCATTAAAGACCTCAAAGCCCCGACGAAACCTACCAGCTCCAATTCCAGATGAATACACAATCCATTCACCAGTTGATACATCTAGCGTTGTACCGAGTAAATTCAACGAACTCCACATGCCCCATAATTCACGAAGAGCACATAAAGCTGCCGATTCATATTTGGGGTCTCCAGTCAATCGGGACAATGCTCCCATTCCCAGAATTAGAGAACCTGAATTCATACGAAAAATCATGAGATTCAGGAAAGTCAAATTTATTGATGTCCTCATCTGAATACCGCAAAAGAAAGCCCCTCACCGCACCCTGAAGTGCTCGTTTCAGTAGTCTCATTCTCCATCACTCCATCCACACTGTCCACAGAATTTAGCATTGATGCGGAGTCTTATATCCTTCTTATAAAGAAAACCACCAAACAATTTCATATAGTTTTGAAACTTGAAAGATGAACTCTTGAAAAGATTATGCAAGATACAAGTACACGTAACTGTATCTTGAGACTGATGATGATGAAGTAGAAAGAATCGTATCATGCATGCATCGCAAAAAGTGTCAGTGAAACTTTTACCAAGAAACCAGTTTGAACATCATACAAACGAAAGTGCAAAACCTACAAGAAATAATGAATAAAAACTAACAGAATTAGCCAAAACAAACTCAAATCAGTAAAACCAGAAACTCTTGCTAAAAACCCCAGATTTCTGATCAATATTACGGATACCCATTAAGCTAAATTTACAAACATTCAAGAAAAACGGAAACTGGTGAAATTCGAATTTGCTTACACCCTACGGACTTTATCTCTGAGGCGTCGCTTCTTAGCTGCCCAACGAGGATCGGACGGCGATGCGGAGGTCGATAAGTTGATGAGGACGAGAGAGATCAGAAGGAAGAGAAGAATCCATGTCGCGCATTTGCACGGCAAAACGGCTTCTGTGCGGAGGGATTCGTATCAGAGATGGAGAGTGAAGAAGCAGAGGACTGAGGAAGCCGGGTTAATTTGCTGCTTTGTGCATGTTAGGTTGCAAACCGAACCAGTTCACATTGCAACATTAGTGAACCTATTACATATTGTTTTAACTTTTAAACCATTATGGTTCTTTTATGTTTTAAAACTAAACAAACCAAAGTTTGCAGTTTGGGTCGTGGTTTGGACCAAAACAAAACCAATCCAAACCATCCCCAGCTTTGAATGGTATAAATAGATATATAGAATCCTGTTGCATTTTGTGCAAGTATAACCGTATAATAGGTAACACATTGATTTGACAGCAACCAAAGAACAAAAAAAAGGAAAATAAGACAAATAAGACAGACTTAGAAAAACTTGCAGGGTTAAAACATAGAAATTCTTGCAAGAGAATAAGTTACAGTAGTATAGAATGACTCTATAGCAAGGTCGATCTCCCTAGAGACTAATATAAATAATTAACAAGTTTTTGAAATATTTAACTTTGTTAACTCTGAGAACTATTCTAAATTGGCAAAACTAAAAATTGGATCTAAGAATGATACCAAACAAGCCCCAAGTTTTTTACTTGTCTTTTTCTTTGGTCGATAAGCTTTTTACTTGGAAATTAACATTTGTTTTTCGTCAAATATACATTGGATTTAACTGAGAATTTAGTTATAGATCCCAAAAGTTCTCACTTCTCAATCACTGGGCCTCAAATTTTACTAATAGCAAAAAGTGAAGGCCCATAAATCTACCCAAAGTTAAATTAGAGCCTATTAATTGAGCTAAATCTTTGCTGAAGGCTTGGTGCGGTGGGTGCCCCACGTAGCCGTCGAGCTCGCCAGTTAGTTTAAAGCCCTTCCGTCCCCACCACAGCTTCGAAACAAAATCCAGTAATTTTAAGAATACGTGTATATTACAGTTTGGTAGTATTATTCTTTATTTGTGAATGAGAGGTCTTACGTTGAATTTCATGGATGACGAATTCGATACCGAATTAGGTAGCTCATTGTGTGACTTAGCCGAACTCTCCCTCCCCTCTTAGTGTAAAATATATCGTGAATGAGAGGTCTTACGTTGAATTTCATGGATGACGAATTCGATACCGAATTAGGTAGCTCATTGTGTGACTTAGCCGAACTCTCCCTCCCCTCTTAGTGTAAAATATATCCGAACTCTCCCTCCCCTCTTAGTGTAAAATATATCGTGAATGAGAGGTCTTACGTTGAATTTCATGGATGACGAATTCGATACCGAATTAGGTAGCTCATTGTGTGACTTAGCCGAACTCTCCCTCCCCTCTTAGTGTAAAATATATCGTTGGACGTAAAAAAATTGTATACGTGAAAATATCGAGCTAAATTGTATTATGTTATTAGTTTTACTCATTATTACAATTACATTGTTGTTTCATTCATGTTGAAGCGAAATCAGGCATACGTGAGTTGCATAGCTTGCGCTAAAGAAATAACAATTTTCAAAGAAAAAGAATGGAGGAGGATCATTGTGTTGTAATATTAAGTTCTCATTTATTTATTTATTTTTGATCGTGTTCTTTCAACACAAATATTGCTGCTAGCGTTAAATGATATCAATGATTTAATCATGGCTCGTTCGTAACTCAAGTTGTGTACATATGTAGCACTGTTTCAAGTTTTCATTTCATATATGATTTGCTCTTCAGCCCCAAGGGTTGGATGCTCGATCGATGTAAACTTGAGGATGTGAAAACTTTTGGCAATTCGGTTACAAAGATTAGTCGAGAAACTTTTCGTTGTAATTTAATATGGCTGCCAAATGTTACCAGCTCATTCATGCTATAATATTTGTGGTTGTTCGATAATAGTACAACATAGATTCCAGATAAATTCATATTGGAAATTGGCATCCAATAAACCTCATGAGAAGACCAAATAAGAGACGTGAGATTGGGACAACAATAAAAATCTTTTGTAATATTTTTCAGCAGCAAAAAGATTTGGCAATGCAAATCAAATCAAGTAAGGAGCTAGTTTTGAGATTGGAAATCTCAACTAGTTTTGACCTCTTGATAGTATTGTTAGAATATCACTTAATAGAATTCTTGCGAAGTCTACTTTCGTTAAGACTCTAGAAATGTCTCATATGGCAATGTGGTACTAAAGTGGTAACACTCGGCAGAAGAACATGTTGGGAAATTACTTTTGGTCCCTGGTAGTTTAATATTTTGTGATGTTACTTTTCGTTCATCAAGAAATCTTGTTAGATTATTCTTAAATTTTACCTCTCTATTTTTGGCTTGGAACAACGTCGGAATTGTTTAGTTTTTATTTTTTTAATTTTTTTTTATTTTTTATCATAATTCATCACTTTTGAAATTGTTAGACTTTTTTATATTAGTCTGCATCAGCTCTGTTCGTACCCTTAACTTCACCTCTTGGTATTAAAGGTAATTGGGTTGATTTAGAGTCACCAGTCTATTTCCCATATCATTTCGGATAGGGACAAACCATCCAAGAGGACCACTTAGACATTGAAATTGTACATTTAGTCCAAATATCTTGTACTCTAGATTTCATGAACTTGTTTTGACCCTCAAATTCAGGAGGACCACTTAGACGTTGAAATTGTACATTTAGTCCACCTATCATTTCGGATAGGTGATCACTGCCTAACAAATGCGTAGGAGTGACTCTACTTGGTTAATCCGCGATAAGGGGTCACTGCCTACTTGGTTACTGCAATTTTGGTTCTGCTTGGTTAATCCGCGATAAGGGGCCACTTCTTGTTTGGTTATTTATGTAGGCTTCGGCCGACTGCGTCACTCTAACCTTAGTTTTTAGTGTTTTCGTGAACTATAGTTTTGGGAACCTTGTGTTTTGATTTAGAAAAGTCGTTGGATGTCTGAATGACTCCTTCGGAGATTTCAAAGACTTAATATTGATTTCTTACGAATGATTTATATTCGAGGTTTATAAACTGTGATTGATGGCCGATAAGCTTTTTACTTGGAAATTAACATTTGTTTCTCGTCAAGTATACATTGGATCTAACTGAGAATTTAGTTAGAAGCCCAAAGGTTCTCACTCCTCAATTACTGGGCCTCAAAATTTGCTAATTGCAAAAAGTGAAGGCCCATAAATCTACCCAAAGTTAAATTAGAGCCTATTAAGCGAGCTAAATCTTTGTTGAAGGCCTGGTGCGGTGGGTGCTCCGCGTAGCCGTCGAGCTCATCAGTTAGCTTAAAGCCCTTCCGTCCCCACCACAGCTTCAAAACAAAATCCATGTAATATTAAGAATATGTGGGCGACTCAGTACTACAGTTTGGTAGTATTCTTTTTCACTTGTGAATAAGAGGTCTTAGGTTGAATCTCATGGATGACGAATTTGATATCAAATTAGGTAGCTCATTATGTGGCTTAGCCGATCTTCTCATCCCAGCTTAGTGTAAAATATATCGTTGTATGTAGAAAAATTGTATACGTGAAAATATCAAGCTAAATTGTATTATGTTACTAGTTTAACTCATTATTACGATTACATTGTTGTTTCATTCATGTTGAAGCAAAATCAGGTATAAGTGAGTTGCATAGATTGCGCTAAATAAATAACAATTTTCAAAGAAAAAGAATGGAGGAGGATCATTGTGTTGTAATATTAAGTTTTCATTTTTTTTTTATTGTGTTCTTACAACATAAATATTGCTGTTAGCGTTAAATGATATCAATGATTTAATCATGGCTCGTTCGTAACTCAAGGTGTGTACGCATGTAGCAATGTTTCGAGTTTTCATTTAATCTATGATTTGCTCTTCAACCCCAAAGGTTGGATGCTCGATCGATGTAAACTTGAGGGTGTGAAAACTTTTGGCAATTGGGTTACAAAGATTAGTCGAGAAACTTTTCGTTGTAACTTAATATGGCCGCCAAATGTTACAAACTCATTCATGCTATAATACTTGTGTTTGTTCGATAATATTACACCATAGGTTCCTGATAAATTCATACTTTTGGCAATTGGGTTACAAAGATTAGTCGAGAAACTTTTTCGTTGTAACTTAATATGGCCGCCAAATGTTACAAACTTATTCATGCTATAATATTTGTGTTTGTTCGATAATATTACAAAGATTAGTTGGAAATTGACATCCAATAAACCTCATGAGAAGACCAAATCATAGACGTGAGATTGGGACATCAATGACAATCTTTTGTAATATTTTTTTAGCAATGAAAAGATTTGGCAATGCAAATCAAATCAAGTAAGGAGCTAGTTTACTTATTTTATTAAAAATAGAATTAGGAATTGATTTCATTCAATTATTTGATTAAAAATCTAGCGAGAGTCCTCTCCGTGTGTGAGAGCAACAACAAAGTTCGGTTTTCTCGTTTAGCCGCAGGCCCTAATTTCGATTCATTTTTCCTCTTTAGTTTTTGATAATTATTTTCAACAAAAAAAAAAAAAAAAAAATTCAACCTAAGAAAAATTAGTTGACAAAAATATAAAAATAATTATTCTCGTTTATGACAGACTCTATTTACCAATATTTATTCGAAACGCACATCCCAGTGATCCCGCTAATCCAACACTTTATTCCACGAAACCTTATTTGTTCGTTTTTTCAATGTAACTTAAATTAGTTTTGCTTTCGTGGTAATTACTGTTTGCCAAAAATATAATAATAGTTTTACGTAGAGAATTATAATGAAAAGAAGAAGATATTTTGATAAAACTATATGCCTTTGAGGAATTTAATTAAACTTTTGATAAAACTATATGTATAAGATTTAATCATTTCCCTAACCAAAATTACATAACATGCCACTACCCATCTTCACTATTTGAAAAAAAGAAAACCATTAATTAAAAACAAAACCATTTGGAAAAAAGATAAGGGGTGTGCTATCCATACACCTCATTTTACTTATCACACACCTCTTGATAATTTTTATCCGTTGATCTTCTTCAATTCATCTGATCCGACTGTCGAAAATTAAAAAGGTGTGTGCGAAGTAAAATGGGGTGTGTGAATATCACATCCCAAAAGATAATAGTAAACGTTTGTAGAAC